GTCCATATCCACTACATACAGGACTCATGAGCCAGCTCCCACTTACGCAGAACGCGAACAGTTGCTTCCAATCTGCATGCATTTATACCAGCCCTTGAACGATAGCATCATGAGGAACCGGCGACGTCTCATGCAGCTCTGCTCAGCAAGGAAACGCACAGCATGCTCCACACCCACCACCTCACACCATCCTGAAAACCAGCTCCTCAGCATCCTGCTGCAGGCATTCATGCTCTTCTTGGTGTTGTCCAAAACACATCATGTCAACAACCAGAGGCAGAAGCCACCAGTTGCTGCTTCCAGAGAGAAGTGCAACGGATACCTGTGCAAATAGGATGGACGCTAATGTGGAGCTCTGCATAAAGACTTGTTAATGGTTTGGATTGACCAGGCATGGCATATTTGTGTCCTCGTCAACATGCTGCTAAACGGTAAAAGCACAAGTGCATACTTGTAATTAGTTGTTGATTTTGCCAGAGGGTACGCACCACAGCCACTGTAATGATATGGAGGTTGATGCCGCACTCACATTCAACTGCGACACAAGCAGAAAATAAACCATGCGTTGTGATCTGTCCATTCAAATCACTTGCCTGTTTTCAATCCACTGTTGGTCAGTGCACAAATTTGTGCTGTTTATACTGATGCCACTCCTGCCATTTGTTGCCTCCACAATAACCCCATGCTTCCATATGTCCTCCAAATTCTCTCTTAAGACACTTAGCCGGCACTTCCCACACCAGGTATCCTTATGCCGTGCAAATGAGGTTCCTGGCACATCGCTGTGGTTCACCTGGTGCAGAATTTCCTGCTGCTACAAGCCATAAACGTTGCGACCCTGACCACAAGTTCTGTTACACCAGCAAGAAAATGCGTGATGTGTTGACTAGGAATTATTGTTTGGTTTCATTCACAAATATGTAAATTTCAAGGTGCCCACTCGTGGGCAAGCGTCGCCCTGTGCAGTTGAGGGTCAACAACATACTGAATGCGCCTGACAATAACAGGACAATTCAATGGATTCAAGGGTATCGATTGTACAAATTACCTCTGAGAGAAGCCACTAGATTCCCAGGCATTCCTCGCAAATTCGTCCAGGACAGCTGCCCTGTCGCGCATCAAGCAAGCAAGGCATTCTGCAAGAAGCATGCTAGCAACACATTGTTCAGCTGCCAGACATCTGGCGACCCACCGGTAAAGACCATTCTTAACACTACCCAGCTCTGCAATTGTCCATAGTGTCTATCCCAGCTGTGAGGCAATCCCCTCTTTCAGCTCAGCAGATGCTATATACAACTCGCATTGATGCATAATCACAATTGTACTGGCTCCAGGGCCAGTACAACCCCTTACCTGCAGTATGTGCTTCCGCTCGGCTGTGGCTCCCTGTGCCACTTTCTTCCATCCCAACAACGTACTTGCCAGCCCATGGTGATCGACACAACCATTGCAAAAAGAGTTGATGATGGACTCCCCAGAACGCACCAGAGGGCCGCTTTCCAGCCTTAGTGTTTCGCTGCAACTTGAGCCAGAAATATGGGAGCAGGTGCTGGGTGGCATGTGCTGTTCAGGACTTCCTGCACATCCACTACCCTGACGCCCATCTTCACCAAGCAGTAGCTCAGTTGCGCTGTCGCCCACTCTGGCCGTTGAACACAACCAATGCAGGTGGGGAGAATACTCAACGCATTCAAACTCCGCAGCTTCGAGCAGCAGAGTGTCCAGAGGGCGTTCGGCCTTATCTGGCATTGTCGGGCAGCTGCACATGCACCGCACATGGCCCAGGGAAACGCCACCTGACCAGCCCACCCTCAGCTCAGTCTAGGGGACGAACGGAAGAGAACAGGCTGGGTACGATCCAGAACGCAAAGCGTTGTGGCCGCCATGTTTGACCGGAACTGTCCCCTACTTTGGATTGAAATCGCGTCAGGCATAAAACACAGCACTTCCAGTAACAGCTGCCCTGAAGCGCAGCAGCTGCTCTCGGCGCATCCGGACGCAACTGGTTACAGTGCTCGGAGATCCCGAATGCAAAGTAGTCTGGTCCACCGCTGTGGGTCAGCCGGGAGGCCGACACGATGCCAAGGACGTAATGTCGGACGTCGGCCTCCACGCGCAAGCGGCACAAGTCAGATTTGTGTGCTGCTGCCTTCCCAGGATAGAGCAGATAGCAGTGCCCAGACTCAAACTCCAGCAAACCGAATGTCAACGGGACGTCTTGCAGAAACGCAGATACACAAAACGAGGTGGCAAATGCCGCAGCCCTCTATCCACACTCTGTCGCATTGTTACAGCCATGGCGAACAGCAGCGCTAAAACGAGGAGTTAGGTGTGCGGCGATTTCTGAGGGAATATCAGACGAGGCCCACAACACACCGTGAGTGACGTCTTCTGTGACGAGCCCCAGTTCCCCGGTTTCGGCAAGAAGCTGATACAGAGGACCCATCATCGTGGTCGCAGCGCACTTGACGATAGCAAGACGAGCTTCGCCATGGCTTTATCCTTCGCCTGGCTGTGGCCCGTGCATATAGGGCTTCTTCCAACTCCCCGGCCGCATGCCGATGTCGCAACTCGTGCGTCCCTCTTACTCTCATGGCGCCTTTTTGGTACGTGTGGGGTTTTGCTGTGGTCATTCTGTGCTGCTAAAGAAGTTGGGTGGTTCCCAGGTTCGGTGTCCGGCCAATTCGTCTAGGACAACTTGTCTAAAGGACAAGTCACTTAAGGACATTTGGTCCAAGGACAACTTGTCTAACGAGTGTTCGTCCCTAAACGCTGCCACAGGTTGGCTGTGTACTAACGATACAAACTTCTCTCTTACGAATACCACTCGTTTTCAAAGCCGTTGCGTGTGTTCATCACCATCATTATTTTTACAGAACAAGGCAATGAGGTAGCCGTCAGCTTCCTTTTTTGCATGTGTTCAGCTGCCATATGGTGAAGTCAGTTGCAACGTTGGCTCCGATTTCGCATTAGACGGGTTGTCTTTAGACGAGTTGAGTCAGCTCGTCCAAGCAGAGCCCATCAATTGCAATCAACCTTCAATTACGATTACATTTCATTTGTTTGTGGCGGGCTGCATTCCGAACGGGTTCCTGGGCGCGTTCCTGGCACCCACAGGAGGGTGAGCGCCGGTCCAGGCATGAGGCTGGCGGGTGTGGCGCGGTTTGGCGCTGCGTGGGGCGTCGATTGGCAGTTATGGAAAGCGGAGATTCTACAGGGCGCATAGGTGGATCGACGGGAGAGGTAGCCGAACGTCAGCACCGATTGGCAGCGATGGAGCCATCAGTTAAATTTACTCTGCAGTCCTCTCCCACCCAGGCACAAAAGTCCAAAGGTCTGTGCCAGAAATGAAATTGTCTACAAACATCAGACATACAAACAAAATGTTCAATCCCTGCTAACATCCGCCTTCAGGCCCTACTTGTAGGTCACGCCGAAGCCTATTCCACAGAAAAACCAATAGCCAAAGGTGAAGCCACCAACCGAGAATCACGCGGGGGGCGGGGGGGGTGCGAAAATAGTGGCGACACAGCGAGGTGCACAGGCTTACAACAAGAGTGCGACCTCGGCTGTGGTGAGAGTGAGAAGGTGTCCATTGACTGACGGGACGCCAAAACCAGACTGCGTGAGTGTCCTTCACAAATCGTCCCGCCCTGGCCTATCCGTTTAATTTAAACTCTCTTTACTGATCGTAAAGGCCACATCCTCCGAGGAGCGAAACTGAATCGACAACTGAAACTGCTTTGCTCAGGCAAAATAGGAAGCTGACGGCTACCTCATTGCCTTGTTCTGTAAAAAACTCATGATGATGAAACTGAATCGGCGGGAGAGGCAGGCGAATGACAGATGACAGCCAACAGATCCTCTGAGGCAAGAAGGCGAATCGACGGGAGGGGGGGCCAACGCGACCCTAGTCCACAATGGGAATTGATTCGCGGACAAAGGGCGTTGAAGCTCCACGCTCATGGTCATCTCTACAAAAGGAACCGGGTGGCGGACTATTCCAGTTGCTCGCGGTGCGAACGCCGTGACTGCCCCGGGCGCGCAGTTTTGATTGAAGATGCGGCTGCGAGCAACAACGCTACCTTGCAATTGTAAGGGGAACTCCCCTTTCAATCACAAAATCACACAATCGGATATGAGTGAGTTGGTTTTGGATGTAGTGGAATGCGCTGAACGAGCGAGGGCCCTCGGGCCACCGGCTGCAGGTGCGATGCGGATATGAGCAAGTTAACTCGGGTCAACGGAATTCTAGACGAGTTGTCCATTAGACGAAATGTCCTTAGACCACTTGTGCGTTAGACGAGTTGTCTTTAGACGAAATGGCCGGCACTGGTTCAGACAGACAGGTGTTACCACGTGAGGACCTGTGTCCAAGGGTGGGTAGTAGGCGTACAGTACGCGCTGGTCCAGTGAGGGTTGGCGCTCTGATGCACTTGCATCATCATCAATTCTTACGTAACAGGGCAAGGGGGTACCCTTCAGCTTCTCACGGTGCACTCGCACAGGGATACACCACGCGTGTGGTCTTGTCGAGGTGGCCTTGGATCCTCGTCAAATAGTCTCTTGACGGACATTGGCCGAGGTACGCGTCACTCGGCTTGGACGGTCTGCAACCATTTAACCCGACGCGGAGCGCGCCTGCCCTTCGCAAGGGCAACCCGCCAACCGCCAAGAAGGTGTGTGCCCAAAGTGTGCTTGACCTCTCTGATAGTGGTTTCGTTGTCAGTTGGGTTGTTGTTGGGGAGTGTGCCGACCCAAGCCCAGCGCGGTCTGTTTGGTCTGCGCTGTGTCTCTTCCCTCGTACCCACAACGTGAGGCCCGGCGTTCTCCAGACCACCAGACGCGGGGTGATATATTTTGGTACCGCGTGTGCTTGCTGACAATGGTGTGTTGTCCGACAGGCCAACCCTTCACTCAGCGAGTTTGGCGCGGTTGTAAATTCAGGCCATTCGAGGAGCCATCGCTTTGGGTAGTGGGTTCTCGCACGGCGATCCAGGATGACTGTGCATTCGCCGGCAGCGGTCCTTTTGGCTGTCGCTACGGGCGCCTTGGTCTTGGCTGTATGCTGTGATGTGGCCGTGGCCGAAATTCCGGAGTATGATCTGAACTTCAACATCACAAAGGGTGAGGGAACTGTGAAAGTATTCGTGAGCCCAGATGAGCTCGAGACAATGATGGAGTCTGAGAAGGGCGTCACTTTGTTGGACGCAAGGGAGGCGCCGGGTCCCTTGGCGGTGCTTGCAAATCGCAGGACGGAGTCCATTCCTGGTGAGGGCAGTGTCCACGGAAGTGTTTGCCTGGTGCCTTGTAACAACCGTTGACACTCGTTGTTGCTGATAGCTTCCGAATGGTTGAGATGCTTTTGTGCACCGTCCGTTGCTGACATGGAGTACGTGTCTGGGCTCCAGTTGTCGTGGGATCATCCAAACCCAGCCAATGCTAGTTCAAAATGAAGTGATGAACGTCGACAAGAAGCTTGCATACTCTATGGACAGCAATCAAGCAGCGCACAGTGTAATACTCAGCTGGGCATGGGGTCCAGATGAGCACAAATGCCTGGCATGCAGATGTGTTCAGCACTGTTTGCAGCCTGCCATGGCGCGCTGCTGCTAGAGACTGACTGACTTGCTGGCTGGCTGGATAAGGTATTGACTGTTCCTTCTGTATCTGCCTTGTCATAATCACTTGGAGAGTTATGCGTGTCAGTTAAATCTCTGACGGTTTCAGTTCATCTGTTTCAGGTTCATACCATGCACATTGGACGGATTTCATTGTTGAAGGCACCCGAGACACCCTCCAGTCTGTTGAAGAACTGGAGGGACTGTTTCGTGAGCGCGGCGTGTCCAACGATGTTCCTGTGGTGGTATACGGTGTGTGGACTGAGGGCTGGGGTGAGGAAGGGAGAATCTTCTGGCAACTGCACTGGCTTGGCCACCAACAAGCTTATATTCTGTACGGCGGTGTTTTTGCATGGAATACCAGTGACCACGAGGTAATGGAAATGTTTCACTGCACAGACTCCAGAATATTGATGGTTGATGCTGAGGTTTTTCCGCATAGGGCCTGAGCACCTGTCATTTCTCTGCACTGGCACTTTGGCTGTTTTCTGCACAGGGCACGGCACGATGATGTGCAGATAGGCACTGGATGTGTGGTCTTGTGACAGTTGCTGCTCTCCTTGATTGCTGAATCGATGCAAAGTGGTCATTGTGCAAGATATTGGCCTCCCTCACATTTTCCTGCCTATTTAAGGCCACAGCATCACTTGCTTGGGTACCTGTTGCAGGATCTCAGCGGTTTGGCACATTGTATGCCAGGGACACTGAACACAGCTGTTTGTGGCTCGTATGTGAATGTTCAGAGCATCGTCATGCTGTCCTGTGTTCAGGATGGTGTACAATTGTACAGTTGCGCAAACCTGACAAGCGATTTTCGTCTGCCTTTTGCCAGGGGAGGGGTCGCACTGCAGATGGGGACTTTGTGGCCAAGCCAATAGACGATCGGATAATTGACGCTGACCAGCTGAAGAAAAGGTTGGACACTGAGCCACAAAACCTGGTGGTTCTGGACGCAAGAACAATAGCAGAGTATGAAGGTGCACAACTGTACGGTGAAGAGCGTGGAGGGCACGTGCCGGGAGCTGTTCAGTTTGAGTGGTAAGTTGATTTGTTGCAGAACAGGGTAAGATGGCCAGTGTTTGTTGAAGAAGGTATCAGACATTTTGCATGAATTGGACACCATCCACCTGGACAAACTCAGCTGTATTTACATTGAATCCTTCCACATCTTCACAAAATGCTATGTGCAGCAGTGAGAAATGTAATGGTGTTTGAAAAGAATGTAGAGCCGCCGAAATGAAGCCCCTGGCTGGGCCCAAATGCAGTTATGTTGCAGCCACCAACAAGAACATGTGAACAGGGACCTCACATCCTTGCCGTGCAGTGTGACTAGCTTGGCTTGCATGCTTGCAGTGCTCTGCCAGCTAAGCAAGCTGCATTGCAAGTCAAACCGTATTTTGGGTAACAGTTCACATTGCTCATCTTGTCACAGCAACACAGTAGGCATGGTGTCCCATCGCAACCATGGAACCACTGACCACCAGATCTACACTGCCGTGGACCGCCTCCAGTGTATGCACATCATCGGTCCAATCGGGCTGCCCCAACTGCCCCCACCCTGCTGCCCCGCTTCGATCCCATGGTGAACACAGTACAGTTGGCCGTGGACTGGTTGACTCCCGGCCAAACTTGGCAAACAGGTTGTTCTACCCAGCGAGGACCTGCTGGGTACGAAGTGGAATGCACAAAGAATACATAGCAGTCTGACAAAAAGAATGCAGAGCAAAAACTGGAACACTGAGATCTCAAATTGTGGAAAGGATGAATATGTTACACTATATGAAACTCCGATCGCACAGCGATCGCCCCCTGGGCATTCGTGTTTCACGCATCAACCCCCTGATCAGGGGCGTGAGAGGCTGTCACTGTCATGGGCGTGGTGATGTGACAGCTGGCTGTGTACTCATGCGTTACTACTCTTATTGATGCGATTGCAGGTTAGAATATATGCACATACTTCTACAATCGGTCATGTGACTCATATGGTCAGAGGCGCCAGGGGCCACGTCAATATAGTGACCATACGAACACAGGTTGGAAAATAACCACAATATTGTATTAGTGCTCATTCACATTGCAAATATGATGACAAAGTAGCAGAGAGTTGACATCAGGCTACACGCCTGAAAAGATGGCCTGAAATTGGCGACTCATGTGCACCAATAAATGCACGCAATGCAGTTGACCCTTATGTGCAAATGTGTGGGTTATGTAGGAAACGTGTCTTTGCTGAGGATGGCAGTGGGAACCTGAAGAACTCTTCCAAGCTCAAGGAAGAACTCATGGAAATCGGTGTTGCAGACGATGTGGCGATTGTGACATATTGCACTGGCGGCATCCGATCTTCCTTTCTCTATTCTGTGCTGACATGGTTGGGGTATGAGGATGTTACCAACTATGCAGCATCGTGGTGGGATTGGGCAAGCAGGGAAGATCTGCCCATCTCTGATTAGGAGCCCATGTTTTAGCTAGGCGACCATGCTGTGAGCTGGCACGTCGAATGAAGTGTTTGGTGGCGTCCATGCCTGCGTCCATGCCTTCCATTCTTGAATATCCACAGACTGTGTGTGATCTGCTGGGTGTGCAAGTCTCCTGACTTCACTGGCGTCGTTGTGTGACTGTATTGGTGCATGTGCCAAACGCCACCACATGTAAATCAGGAATATGGAGTACACGGAGAGGCTGTTGTTGGTTTTTCTGCCACTGTTGTGCACATTTCCATCTTTGGTGACGATCAAGTGTTCAGAGAAGCCCTCACAAGCCTGATTCCCGCTTGCCAACATTCTTGCTCAGTCTCCTTATAGCCAGCCATGGATGGTCCAGTTTGTGAAGAGCAATGATCGTGGTGGTCGTTGCACGTCTTGGCACCAGTGTGCGCTGCACACACAACGTGTGGTGGCATAATTGGTCAGTCTATTTTGCAAGCAGTCATGTTCCCTAGAGCCAGACCATTAAGGGGCTTTGCAGGCGGTTTGCGCACCCCATCACCATGTCTTGCCCTGGACTCGACTGAGATTGTCCAGTTCAGGGGGCGTTGCTCAAATTCTGAAGGTCGACTTGGCCACATCGGGTGGGTGGGCAACTCTCGATTGGCACAAATGGTGGCAAGGTTCCTGGCACGAACCATTCCACTTGGGTCGTTAAGTGCATCTGTGATCCCTTACATGCGCTGAACTGTTGTCCTCATGCTGCTTTGGCATTGCCAATGCCGTGAAAATGGATACGGACAGAATGGTCCATTTTATGAAGAGCAATGATCCTGCTGTTCATCACACCCTTCTGTGCATCCCAGACGCTAGTGCATCCAAATTCTGTTGTATTGCTGCTGTTCTCTACTTTGTGGCCATTTCCCAATGTCCAGGCTATGCAGCTTCGGTACAGGGTGGGCACAAACGAACATGATTGTCACGCTTACGTTCCGTTTAGGTTGAAACATCGACGAAACGTGCATGGCAAGTTTGTGTTTCCGTTTTGCCAACTCAAATGCAGCCCATGCGTTTTCGTTCCCGTTTCCGTATTCCAAATGTAAAATGCACGTTCACGTCTCCGTTCTGGAAACCTGAACGTAGTGTGTGCATTTTTGCTTGCGTTTGAGTGGCATACACACATCCCAGATCCAAGAGATTTGCAGTGTGGCTGGCGCAATGTGTGTGCGCATCACTGCCAAGGATATCGCAAATAGCTTTGCAGATCAAATATGACTCCCACTCGTTGGTCTTTTCATCAAAGCTTTGGAAACGCAAATGTTGCCTAACGTTTACGCTGACGTCTGGCCCCTGTTCACGTTTCCGCTTTGAAACCCCAACGCGTTGGGGACGTTGACGTTCCTGTTTCAAAATCCAAACGTGCAGGGGACGTCCATGTTTGTCTTTCGGAGACCCAAACGTAATGCACACGTCTGCGTTTCCGTTTCAGTGGTGTACGCTCACTCCAGCTTCGGCACTGTTTCACTGAACACACAAATATCTGGAATTTGTTGATTTAGGTGCTTACTTGATGTGTGGAATCTCTGCAGGGTGCATGCGCTGATTGTCATCTTTCCTTCTGCATGGGCGGCATAACTGTGGGGCAGAGATGTGCCCTGTGATTCCTGTCAATGTTGGAATCGTAAAGAAGAATTCTGGGCTCCATGATGCGCTTTCAGTTTCGGCATCTCCAGAGATGCCTAGGGGATCCCCTCGGATGATTAGGAAAACATCCTGAGGGTCAGGCTTGGTCTTTACGTTCCCGGCTCTAATTTTACGTTTGTGTTTTTATGCGTAGAAACGCATAAATAGAGAAATTGCGATTTTTTCGGCCATATTCACGCATATTCACGGTTCGTCGATATGCCCACATTACATGTCCCAAGCAAAGGTAAATCCTCCACTATCACCAGCACCGGCAACATAGCGCACACCTCGCCCTGCAAGGGCAACAACGTCGCCGAGCAGAGGATCGTTTTATGCATACATCAGCGCATGTGGCTGCCATTCGCCGGACTCCCTGGAGTTCAACGATCCGCAATGGCGCCCGCTGCCGGACTGTCGGCACATCCCCAAGGATGTCATGGTCACGTGCAGCTGCAATCCTGTAGTCCCAAGAGGGATTGAAAAATACTCGCAAACTAAAATGTTCAAAAACACGATCAAAAGCAGAGCAATGGGAAAAGCACATCCCCAACTGCCGCATAATGTTCCTTTTTGTGGACCAAGGCATTTCTTCTGAATCCGCGCCACGTTCTTCTATGCACTCATGGTGTCCCAAACAAACGTGAATGATCGAATCAGCATGCCGCGGCAGCTAGAGGTGGCCCCATCTGTCCGTCCCCAACAGAATTTGTTTGGCTCCGTTAAAATTCTGTACAATCAACAGAATTTATGAGGGAGCCACAGAGAAAAAAAGCGTTTTACAGAAACGGGTAGGGCCATGCTGACGTCAGCATAGACAGCTACAGAAATCCACATATCCTTACAGAATGGAACCGCGTGTTACAGAATTCGCGCCGCCATCTACGGATGATAGGTCCCCGCAACAGAGCCGCTCACCGGACCACAAAGGTCGACAGAATTCCATAAAAAATCAATGGCAATCGCTGCCGGGAAGGGCCCACACTTATGATTTATAGTATGCCGTGATGATGTGTTCTGTGTGTGTGCTGCCTCCAGCCAAGTACTGGCAGCGATCGCTGCCGGGAAGGGCCCGCACTTACGATTTATAGTATGCCGTGATGATGTGTCCTGTATGTGTGCTGCTATGGCTGAGTACCGGCAGCGATCACTGCCGGGAAGGGCCTGAGCTAAGTATTAATAATTTGCCAATCGAGTCAATTGAAGAATGGAAAATAGCTGAATGGCATGTTGGGCGGCACTTTGTCAAGGCACATCCAATTTTCCTGGACGTCATGACCACGCCTCTATTCGCAACAAGCTTCCAGAATCTCAAAGTCCATGACGGATGGCAACGGAATGCCAGGAAAGGCAACGGAAAAAACAACATCTTTACAGAAATTGGTGGCTGCAAACACCCCCTTGACGGACAGCTCCAGAGCCAAAAAATTGGAAGCTGACGTGGCATGAACGGCTACAGAAAACCGGCCCCGGCAAAACAACAGAAAAGTGACGGACGGATTTTTTGTCTTGAAAAAAAATACAGAAGTAAAATAACAGAAAAAAATCTGAGCGGCTATGTCTACGTGCAGCACAGTAGGTCAACAGTTCCAGCGTTCTATCAAAAAAGTTCACCTGTAAGTAATGTGTTTTGCAAAGCTGGTTTACTCGAGAGTTTACGCTTGCCATGTTCCTGTTTGTGAAATGCAGCCCAATCGCTGGCCATGAAGCATTATTGAGCAGCCTAGTGACATGGTGGTCATTATGTGACTGCCCGAGAACATAGTTTATAGTAATCCAGCAAACCTGCAGAGCAGTGCATTTGCTGTTGGCTGAGACATGAACCAAATTTGGGGCGCTATAATGGTGCCATTGTACGTGCCCGTGAGGTTGTCATTTGTTACCGTTGTCTAACTTTATGCCTGCGTTTTGCGTTCTTACGTTCTTATGCACAAAGGTGTACCGTAGATTAAGGAGGATAACGCCCACCCCACCCCACGACCCCCCACCCCCGCGTTCCATATCTTGCGTGCCCCCCGCATTCCGCATCAGGTCGCTGACTCAGTAGCGGCCCCCGTTGCTCCCCGCCCCCTATGACTAAATAACGTTTTCCCACCCACCCCCCCCCAGGCGTTATCACGCTGGCCCGCGTACCGTCCCCCCACCAACTTAGCGCATTACATAAGGCGCTATTAATGGCAGCCACCAAAACCGGGGCAAAAAAATGATGGGACGGCACAGGTCGCTGCATTATGCCGTGCCACCCGGGTTGCCAAATTGATTTGCAAAGCGAGCCGGCGCCTGGCCAATGTAACGTATTATATAACATGACATAACGGTGCATAAGGCGCCAATCATAGCGTCAACCAATAATAGCTGTTGGGACGTCGCACCGCACTGGAGACGGCCTGGAGATCCCAATAACCTTGGTTGGAATGATGGTAGTATGGAATTGGACACTAAGAATCTTGAGGTCATGCTGTTTGATTGAAGGAGGAATGTCATGGCAATGTTCACTTGGAGCGGACATGATAAAATTGGGGTAATAGCACATGCAACGAGATTTAAGAATGTGTGAAAATGCTTTTGCATTGTGGTTGTACGTGATGTTGAAGTGAATATCCCTCCCCCGAGCTATCTTGCGTACTCCCCGCACTCCGCAACACCAGCCATTTTGATAACGGCAGGGGCGTTGTCTAAAGGCCCCGGCACTATTCAACAAACCCCGCGCCATCCTCCGTGATCTACGGTAAACACACATTGTGTGTCACACAGAAGGGCTATTTTTACGGCCGTATTTACATATTTTTAAGGCTCGTCGGGACACCCAGGTTACATGATAAAGTCACGTACAATGATCAGTCTTCCGCCCCCTCGAGCACCCACAACACAACGTCCATCTCGCCCTCAGCAATGGCAACGACGACGCCAAACAA